GTGAACTCCATTACGCGGAGAGTGTCCGGCGCGACGCTATTTTTAGATCTGCCCCACCCGCCTGCCTGCCTGTGCTCCTCGCCTCTCCCTCCTCCTCCTTCCGCTTGGGCAAGCCGCGCGGTAAGGTTGCGCAGTGTGTGTCTTTGTTGCGTTATCACTGACGTCATATGACGTATCGGACTGTGATTGGCCATGCATCCCTACCCTCCTCTGCTGCTAGCTGTAATTGGCTTAAAGTATTATGACGTGTCCACCCGGAGGAGGGAGGGAGGGAGGAAAGATGATCCTTGACCTAGCCGCGCCACTTTCATCCCTCCACGCCAGACCGTGTAAACGTGCATCCATTGTTCTCTATAATGGCTTCCGCCGGACCACCACCCCCGGAGAGAAACCTTTCCTTACCTGGACCCAGCGGCACTAAGCCAAAGAAGACACGACGTTCCTTAAGCTACGAGGTGAAGTATACCATCATCCAAGAGTTGGAAAAAGGAACAAGGCAGGTTGATTTGGCGCGCCAGCATGGTGTGAATGAATCTACGATTCGAATAATAAAGAAGGATGCAGCCAAGATAAAGGAGCACATGAAGATCACAAAGTCTACAGGTGCTTCTATGATCAAGTACGTATTTTCACAACCAGGTGCTTCTCAAGACAGAAAAATTACTTGTGAGGTACTTGGTGCGTCAGGCGCGACGGAACATGGTGGTCGACACGCGCTCTGTTAAGAACTACGCACGTGAACTGTACATCGCAGTGGCACGAAAGATGGGAATTACAGAGCCCAAACCCTTTAATGCTTCCTCTGGGTGGTTACAGAGGTTTAAGATCCGGAACAAGATCACCAATATAAACATTGGTGGTGAAGAAGCGAGTGCTGACCGTGCTGCGGCTAGGGAATTTCCTCCGTTTTTACTAGAGATTATGGAGGAAGGACAGTACAGTGACGACCAGGTGTTTAACATGGACGAATCTGGTCTTTTTTGGAAAAAGCTACCTTCCAAGTCCTTCGTTGTAAAGAATGCCAGCAAGATTCGGGGCCGGAAGATGCAGAAGGAACGCATCACCGTCCTGTTTACCACCAATGCCTCCGGTACCTGTAAGCTCAAGTTATCGGTGATCCACACAGCACGCAAGCCGCACGCCTACAAAACCATGGACATGACCAAGCTAAATGTCCACTGGCTGACCGCACGTAAGGCGTGGATGTTCTCTACACTGTCCCTCTCCTGGTTTGATGACTGTTTTGTTCCCGATGTAAAGAAATTCTGTGAGCGACAGAATGTGCCATTCAAGATTTTGTTGCTGCTGGACAACGCACCAGGACACTCGCCCCTACTGTTAGATCGTCACCCCAACGTAAAAGTGGTCTTCCTTCCTCCCAACACTACGTCTATATTACAGCCCATGGACCAAGAGTTAATCTGTAATGTAAAAGCTGCATTCTCTACGAAAAAATTCAAACTCCTGAACGACTACACCAACACCAGGGAAGAGTTGCGTAACCTGAGTGACACCACCACCGATAGCAAGAGCGAAGAAGATGAGGATCAACAGTTGGCACAGCAAAAAATACTGTTCAAACAATTCTGGAGAGTATTTAACATCAAGAAAGCTGTGGACTTCTTGGTGGAGTCATGGGATCAGCTGTCTATTGCTACAATTCGTCACGCATGGAGACATGTGTTGCATGGAATACCAGGTGAGAGGAGGAGTCAATCTGTGACTGGTGAGGTTCAGACTGTTGCAGTAGCAGTGGACCTTGCCAGAGAAGCTGCGCAGACTGTTACAGTTCCAGGCTTCTCCGAGACCACCAACGACGACATCCTGGAGGTGATCAGAGATCCTGAAGTGACTGCCGACGAGATGTTGGAAGAAGATCACGTCAGTGAAGAGGAGGAAGAAGGTGCGTCATTCTCCGAAGAACACAGTTTAACTCATAGTGATATTAAGGGTGCCATGGAGTGTGCAGAGAAAATGAAGTCCTTCCTTTCCCGCGACAATGACGATGACCGCTATGAAGTCTTCCATACCCGGCTGGTGCAGGATATGGAGCCGTACATCACGGTGTATCAAGACAACATAAACACCAGCCGTCAAAAAAGCATAACCGAGTTCTTCGCCCGCAACCCACCACAGCCAGCCCAAGCCAGTGATAGTGACAGTGAAGATGACTTTGAGGGATTTGTCAGGGAAGCCCTGACAACTGTAAGTGACAGTGATGGTGATTCACCTAGTAATGGTGATTCACCTAGTAATGGTGATTCACCTGAGGGCCAGTAATCTGCCCTCTGCCTCGGAACCAGCCTCCATCCCCGTATGCCGACCCATCTCTTCTACTAACGTAAGTGTTCTACATAACTTTTAGTTTTCCTAACCTAACCTTTATTTTTCCTATGTTAACCTTTATTTTTCCTAACCTAACCTCTTCTATATTACTTGTTTTTTCATACCATCACAAAGTTAAGATAAAATTTTTACTACAACAAAGTTGTGTGTCATTAAAAAGTGGAGTTTGGGGGTCGGCCCGGACTCTATTTCAATTAATCCCATATGATATGTTATTCACTTTACGCGTTCCTCACTTTCCGCGGGACCCTGCGGGTTACATTAACCGCGTAAAGTGAGGGTTGACTGTAGGTCGTAAGTCGGGGAGGAGCTGTATATACAGGGCATACTATTTTCAATATAAATGCCATTGAATTTCTGTATATGTCATGTATTTCATGAGGCAAAGGGAGGCTCAGGAACGTAACTCCCGTATTTTATCTATTTCTTATGGGGAAAATTGATTCCGTTAGCGTTGTTTCCGTTAATGTCGCGGTTTTTAGGAACGGAACCACGATGTTAACGTTGTTTCCGATAATGTCGCGGTTTTTAGGAACGGAACCACGACGTTAAGCGAGGACTTACTGTACAGTGCTCAACTTTATGATAAAGGATGTATATTTTTATGGTCAGGAATGAAGAGGTTAAATTTTCATTAGCTATATTATTTTATGTATACTGGGGAAAACCCCTCCCGTTCAGGAAATCCACCCAATAAGGGACAACATTTGCATGATTTAGCCTGGTATTCGAAGGGTTTACTGTACCTGTGCAGCGAGCCCTATTCGGTGGAGTGACACAGGCTGTAGTGGAGAAGTGGGATCCAACATAACTTAAGCACAACTTTTGTAATTTGCATGACAAGAAAAAAGCTGATCAGTAAATTACACAGCACTGTGAAAAGTGTTCACTAATTTAACAAAAATTATATAGTATATACAGTAGAACGTCGATTTAAAGCGATTCAATTTAAGATTATTGATTTAAAGCGACACCCACAATTAAGGACAAAGTTTTAATGTAAAGCAAATCTTTCCTATTTTGCGCGAATCAATCTGGCGCGTCCTATTTTAAATTTCGGGCCTAATGTTTTCCACTAGATACATTTCTGGGCACACTACACGGCTGCCCGCCACCCTTCCAAATGCTTAGTTCTCACACTGACGGTCTAGTGAACGGACATATTGTGTGACACTATCTCCTTCTACCACGTGCATCAACCATCGCCACTCTGTCCAAGAGGCCAGCCACTACATCATTAACTACCCCAAAGGCCAAGAAATCAAGGCAAGCAATTACAGTAGAAGTCCAAAAATCCAGACTGCTTGGGGATTGGGTCGGTCCGGATTTTCGGATTTTCCGGATTCTCAGGCAGTACTTTTAAAATTCAAATTTAAGGAGGAATGAAGAAGAGATGAACAGGTACATTTTGATAGTTTATTCATTAGCAAATATAGCATTCTTCATTTATCAAAACGAGCAGTTTTAAAGAAAAAGCTGTGAATTCTAGAATTGTATTCTTTGCCTTTTTTTATATCATAAATTGTAGACTTTCCAATGTCGTATGTTTCCATTAGGACAGTATTGCTCACACCACGTTCTAGTTTCTTAATTATTTCAAAGTTTGTCACTCAATTTCAACTTGTTCTTCTTTCTCTTCACACAACGAAGTTTATCTACTTTAGGAGCCATTATTATGGGCTTGTACAGTACTCTGTAAATGGAAAGAGTAAGACTCAAAATTACATACCCGGTACGTTGTCACAGTTTGATTGCTCGTTTTAAAGTGGCAACTGTGTGGTCGCTTGTTGTCGCTGTGCAGCTGTGGCGCTCACGCATGCGCACATACACACAAAAGCCAGCTAAATAAAAAAATAAAAAAATTGAGTTTTTGAAAAAATCCGGATCCTCAAGTGGTCCGGATTTCTGGCATCCGGATTTTTGGACTTTTACTGTACACTGGAGCAGAAAAACAAGGTGCTGGAAGCACTGCAGCGTGGAAATAGTGTTTTCCGCGGGATAGATGCGTCCACAGCACTAGACAGTGATGTGGATGATGAGCTGGTCGAGTTGGACTCTGCATCTTTGGAGGATGAATTACCTAACTAAAGTTGAGTGAAAATCTATTTTTGATAGCATAAAGAAATAAAAAAATAAGTTGAGAGGAAAGTGGAAGTGCTGGGTGAGGCAGGCAGGTGGTTAGTGGCACCAGCACAACCACCCTCTTGCATCAGCTGATCGCTAGTAAACAGACCATTTCGCATCCCTTAATTTTAGCTGTGTTGACTTATGAGTTTGTTTTAGCATAATACATGACTATAAAAACAATGTTTTGTTTATTCTAGGAGATGGGCTGAGGTGCATGTGGGTAGACTCTCAGTCTTTTTAGTATTTTGTGTTTCTCTCCATTTAGTGCGAATTCGGTTTAAAGAGACCTCTCTTGGAATGTATCGCGTGTTATATCGAAGTTCTACTGTACTGCACATGAATGTGTATAGCAGGAATACATATGGTGAAGACTACCTGTACTCTATTCCCAAAAAGTAAATGAGAAAGCTCATCACGGTTTCATTATTTAAAACTCTACTCAACTCTCCAAACAAAACATTCACTTCACACACAATAAACCTCACACATACACACTCTTACTAAAAATATAAAAACAACAAACTTACCCATAAGTCTTCATTTACAAGATAGGAATCCAAATAATTAACAACATTAGGGTGCTTATTTTCTTTCATGACCAGAATTTCATTGATAATAAGCTCTTTCTTTGGTTGCTGAGATAGATTCATCTGTTTAATTGCTACCTCCACCCCTGTAGCAGTTTCAATTGCTGTGTACACTGTACCCGATGCTCTGAAAAATATAATAAAAAATAAAAGTGATGGCATCTTTTATAAAATTATTGATATTAAATAAAAAATATCATCAAAATTTATAGCATAGCACAGGTGAAGTTTGTTCCTGGAAACTCAACTATAAGCTAACATGTCCTACAGAATGGATTGATTGATTAATTAATTGATTGAGTGATTAATTGATTGTGGTAATTACATCCTTGGTGACGCCATAGCTTAAGTCATATGTCGACGAATTAAAATAAAGGCTTAATAGACTTAAATCAATAATGTAAGGTAAAAAACATAAGTAACAAATAACATAGAACTTTCATATTAAACATTTAAACGTTAATAGATAAAACTCACAGAATGGACATACGATTTTGACCTTTCCTATAAATATGATACTAAAATAAAAAAATTTAAAAATAAAAACTGGAGCTAAGGTAAAACTATATAAAGAGCTTCCTCAAAACTACATAGTAGCTACAAATGTTTTGACGATGAAAAGCTGTCACACTCAACAACTTTTGTTTTTGTTTTAGTACAAAATAAATCATCAAAACACACAATTTCAGGTATCAAATATTGAAGAAAAACTATCAAATTCCACAAACGAATTTCAGTCAAAATATAAAATGTAACAGATAAACAACAACAGTTAACTCACCCCTGGCCAATCTTTTCCATTTTAGTATACTTGCGGTTGGGGTCTCCAACAGATACTATACTTCTTAATCGTTCTAAAATTTCCTCATCACTCATTTTCTTCTTCTTCTGCTTCTCAGCTGTCCTCTCTATTGCTGTACTCACACTGTAAAAAGGCATTAAAAGATCAGCTAAGTTATCATATTGTTTATATTCTTCAAGACCACTCAATTTATAAACAATGCAACAATATTTACCATATACAATGACTTGGTAAAGTCTTAGGTACTTTTCCATTAGGTTCCAAGATACAATGAAAACTACTGAGACAGGTGACACACATAGATGATGTGCTGTACAATTCACTACAAAGTAAAATGGAAGTCAACTTCTGGTTTATTTCATGTGACATTTCCTTGGGAAGCAAAACTGTTCCTCAATAACTGACATTTTGTACAGAGGATGACAATGAGGTCATAAGCAGATAAACCCCATTAATTGGGACTTCACTAAACTGGAATTCTGGACACTGGACATGAGAGGGGTCAGCAAACTAGAGAAGTTCTACTGCCACACACCTCACATTTTGCAAGGAACAAAAATAGAACTTTATTATCATCATATGGAAGACTTAAAAAAAGAAAAAAAGACGGGAACTTGAGTAAAAGCAATAAGGCTAATTTTAGTTTTCATATTACACCATCAAACCACTTGCCATTAAAAAATTACTTAAAAAGTAACGTATTTGCATATTAGCAGAATAAAAAAGGGAAAAGTACAGAAAGCAGGAAAATAAATGGCATGTTCAAAAGTACAATGGTATACTGTATACTAGGGAGTGACAGTTTTGCAAAAGTTTTCAAAATCTAATTGCTTGGGTTGGATTATTTGTCTATCGGCCACGCTAATTCCGAATATGTTTGAGTTTTTTACATCATTGCATTAGAAGGTTTGTGGATACTTTTGGGTTTGGCATGAAAAACGCGAAAAAACTGTAAATAATAAAGGGACTGGCAATGTGGCACAACCTGTTAAAATCAAGTTATTGAATTGGATTATTCGACTACTGTGTACACTGGTTCATAATATGCTATTGTTTTACAACTCAATGCGCTACAAATTATGCCGATATTTTTGCTGCAAGTCACCACATACGTATATTTCGAAAACCAGGGCCCAATATTACCAACGGCGTGGATAGATTCCGTGGAATGAATTCAGGACATTCCCGCTCATGGAACATTACCAAACTCCGTATATGTGCCAATGGCAGGCCAATGGCAATATTTACAGAGTTTGTTGAGGCTCCCTGGACGGGAATGCCCTGAATTTATTCCACGGAATCTATTCACGCCGTTGGTAATATTCGTCCCAGGACTGATCAACGAATTCAGCCCAAGTAGCTTGACTTGGACAGTTAAGGACAAAATCTCAGTCCGTACTTTTGAATAAAATATTGTTCAATAGGTGGTGATATTGAAGTGCTGAAAGTTGTTTTTTCTGTGTTGTTTTGCAGTTAGTTCAAAGGGCCGCCACCAAGATGGGTCGTCCTAAGATTAGCAACACTCAGCTGCGCCAGGGTAACGATAAGGTGTTCGGGGTTCGGATGCCTCTGCCATCTAACAAGTTGCCTCTGAACAAGGAAGTTGGAAGTGCCCTGGCTTATGAAGCAGAAAACGAGAGGTTAAGGAGAAGAACAAATGCTTTTGATTATATGGATGCCACCAACAAGGTGACTGAGAAGGTACTGGATGTGTATAGGAAGGCCACTGTCCCCACTATCTCTGAAATCAGGGTGAAAATGAGAGTCCACGACCTGTGGAGGATGCGGAGGGAGACGATGATGATGAAGGGAAATGGACAGAAACAGAAAAGGAAGAAAACGAAGAACGGGAAGCTGAAGATGAGGTTCGAGGATATAGCTGAGAAGTTGTTTGATGTGGCAGACGACAGCAAAGTGCACGAACGAGAGAAAAGCTTCCTGGCAGCCCAGAGGAAACCGGGAAGGGAGGGCTGCATTGATGGCATTGACAAAATTGTGACTGCCAAGCTGAAAGAAGAGAGGGAGAAGGAAGCGAAGAGGGCAAAGAAAAGGGCTGAGGAAGAGAGGAAAACTGAGAAGATGAGGTCAAAGAGTAAGGAGGAGATGGAGAGGATGTCGTGTAAAGTGTCGGCAGTGGATGACAGTGCTCAGGAAGAAGATAGTGATTATAAGGATGTCAATGACAATGAGTTCAAGGCTATGGTCGACAGGAGAGCAAGATCAGAGAAAAGGAAAAGGGAGAAAGAAGCCGAGGACAGGATCGGAGAAACTGCTGACAGGTTCAAGGTATCCAATGATGTAGTGGCTCACATCGCAAACACCATCAGAGCTGCAGACAACATCATAACTGAAGGGGACAAGTCTAAAGTGACTAACTGGAAGAAAGTGGAGAGAGTCAGGAAGAGGTCACGAGAACAGAAAAAAGAAAAGTTCAGGGGATTCAAGGTCAGAGGTCTCATGGTAGATGAGATGATCAATGAGAACAAGATAGTGACTGGTGTAGGTGAGAAGAACGGACTGAGATTTTGTCCTTAACTGTCCAAGTCAAGCTACTTGGGCTGAATTCGTTGATCAGTCCTGGGACGAATATTACCAACGGCGTGAATAGATTCCGTGGAATAAATTCAGGGCATTCCCGTCCAGGGAGCATCAACAAACTCTGTAAATATTGCCATTGGCCTGCCATTGGCACATATACGGAGTTTGGTAATGTTCCATGAGCGGGAATGTCCTGAATTCATTCCACGGAATCTATCCACGCCGTTGGTAATATTGGGCCCTGGTTTTCGAAATATACGTATGTGGTGACTTGCAGCAAAAATATCGGCATAATTTGTAGCGCATTGAGTTGTAAAACAATAGCATATTATGAACCAGTGTACACAGTAGTCGAATAATCCAATTCAATAACTTGATTTTAACAGGTTGTGCCACATTGCCAGTCCCTTTATTATTTACAGTTTTTTCGCGTTTTTCATGCCAAACCCAAAAGTATCCACAAACCTTCTAATGCAATGATGTAAAAAACTCAAACATATTCGGAATTAGCGTGGCCGATAGACAAATAATCCAACCCAAGCAATTAGATTTTGAAAACTTTTGCAAAACTGTCACTCCCTACTGTATACAGAGGTGGATGATAAAGTATTGTAAATTTATTTCATTACCAAGCTCAAACAACTTTCTTTTAATGAAGTTACTTGACAGTATCTTTTTTCTCAGTACTTTTACTTGAGTAACATTTCAGGTAACTATCAGCATTCTTACTTCATTAATTATTTTGGGGGCTTTATTAAGACCGGTTGGCCTGTGCATGGCAGCTCCTGTCAAGAGTTACTACCACTCTCTATCATCCATGAATCTATCTAGCCTCCTTTTAAAACTTTCCAGCATTTCAGTACTTACTACAAAGTTGCTAAGCTTGTTCCACCCGTCCACCACCCTATTTGTGAACCAGTTCCTTCCTATCTCCCTCCTAAACCTAAACTTATCCAACTTAAACCCATTGCTACGAGTCCTATCCTGCTGGTATATTATAAGAACTTTATCTATATCGCCTTTATTGATTCCTTTCACCCACTTAAATACTTCTATCATATCTCCCCACACTCTTCGTCTTTCTAGGGAATGCAAGTTTAGTTTCTTTAACCTATCTTGATATGGAAGGTTTCTAAGTCCAGGAATCATTTTCGTCATTCTTCGCTGCGCCGACTTCAGCGAATTGATATCCATTCTATAATAAGGGCACCAGAACTGAACCGCAAAATCGAGGTGCGGCCTGACTAGCGCAAAATATAGTTACAATTCTTGGGTGTCTAAGTAATGAATTTAAGATATTTTCTCAGACAATTAGAACTTACTGAGTACATGAGAAGTTTCCAGCCAATCTTAACTCAGCACTGTGCACACAATATGTTTTGAGCCAGTCACAGAGTAAAGCATCTCTTCAGTAGCATGACCAAAAACAATTCCCCTTGGTCATTCAGCCCCAAAAAGGCTACATAACAAAAATTAGAAAAAATCCGCCGCTGATAAAATTAAATGAAAGGAAAGTGCAATAAATAACAAACTATACAGTACAGGCACACCCTGACTTACAAACAAGTTACATTCCTGAAATTTATCTTTACGTCAAATTGTATGTACTGTATGTCATAACCTGATATAAGCCTGTATTTAAGTGATAAGAAGAAATACAATGATATCCCCATTAGCTGGAACAATTGGTGCAGAGCACTTCCGGGGATGAGAGATTTCCAGCTAACCAGACGACTTTCTCAAACCCGGAAAAATTCCTTATCCCTAGAATCTTTTCCGGTTACTGGGAAAAGTTTCCGAGGGTCTAAACAAGACATCTTGCACACAAAGACACTAGGCAACTTCCTCAGAATGCTTCTGGGTGCTGGGGATGTTTTCCTTGAGTCCAAACTACCGGAGTCCGTAAATGCAGTTTTAAAGTTAAGAACTCCATTTCTTTACTATAATAATCCAGAATTGTTTAACTAAAAGCTTGATAAAATAAATATATTTGAAAACTAAAAATCTATATGTTATGGGCGTGAATAAAACTGTTACAGCAAAGATTGGTAATTTCCACTCCCATGGAGCTGTAGGGGATTAGTGGGTCTCATGTACCTGACCTGATGCAATGTCAGGTGGAGGTAGGATGGGGGATTAGTGGTCTCATATTACTGACCTTCTGATGGAATGTCAGGTCACCCTTTCTTGACCAGGGGATTAGTGGGTCCCATGACCTGAAGATGTCTTGAATAAACACGAAACCTAAATTATTTTTAGAGAGATTGTGATAAATATAAGTATAAATGAGCAAAGTGGTATCCCTTCAACATTATGTTACATAACATTTTAAAATATGGAGTGAGAAAGCAGAAAGGTGTGGGTGATTAGAGATATGTAGTGGAACCGAGTGTTGCCAAGCACTCCTCAACAGGTAATATTTAACTCGCGGTCACATACACGCAAATTTGTCACACAATAAGACCCTTACTCCGTATGTCTGCTGTCTTAATTCTCTTGTTACATAAGAACATAAGGAGTCTGCAATAGGCCGGTTGGCCTGTGCATAGCAGCTCCTGTCGAGAGTTACTACCACTCTTTATCAT